TACTTCCTCCCTTCTTACAGCCTTTTCTCACTTCCTATATTCCTTCTCTCTCCCTTTCCTCCCTCCATCTCTGAAAGGGCAAGCATCTTGCAGCATCACAATGTTGAGGCAAAGCAGCAGAGCAAAGTAAAAATATGCACAGAGTGGTGATTGATATCAGATGCTTTGTTGTTATCTGAGATGGACAGGAAGGACTGTTCCACTTGATCAATGTCCTTGACTAAGGAAATTACACTGCCTAGCAAATGAATTCAAACTGTTTGGATAGAACAGGGGCTTCTCAAGCTTACTTCAACACTTTAAATGGCAGTCTAGATTTTTCATTAAATGCTTTTTTAAGTAAATATATTCTTTGCCAATACTGTTCATTTTTAATGTTAATATTCTATACTTACGATTTATTGCATTGGAAGATTTTTCTTAGTGTTGTTTTACATTTCCCCTCCTTGAACCGCCACCTTATTGTGTTGGACGGGTTTGAGTACCCAAGTGATCCTAGGAGCTATGTTGTCGGGGGCTATATGCCCCTGGTAGGATCTCCCAAGGCAAACAGGTCCTAGGTGATGGATGTTTTACGTTTCCATGCTGAGATCTGATGCTAGCCTGTTTATATAGTGTGACAGATGTGTAACAAACCAAGATTAATTCTTTAATTACCTTAGGAGTGTATTTTAACCTTGTTTTGTGTTCTTTGTAATGCCCAATAGTGGATCAGTGAAGTGGCACCCAATTAATTCTACTTAATAAAAAGACATGTAGTTTTCTGGTAGAGGCCTGCATCACTCTTTTATACCTTAATGTTGCTGTAGCACAGTCAGGCTGTAATGATTGCTGGAACTGCTTGGGGTTAGGTGGCAACATAACAGCTGCTGAAGAAATGATCCTTGGATCTGAAACTGCAATTGCAACAGACCAGCCTCAACCCTCTGGACCCTCCAGGCTACCTACAGTAGGAAGTGTCAGATTATTAAAAAAAAGTAGCGAACACGATTCAGGGGTCACAGCTGGTTGTACAGTATTGTTCAAAATAATAGCAGTACAATGTGACTAACCAGAATAATCCAGGTTTTTAGTATATTTTTTATTGCTACATGGCAAACGAGTTACCAGTAGGTGCAGTAGATTCTCAGAAAACAAACAAGACCCAGCATTCATGATATGCACGCTCTTAAGGCTGTGCAATTGGGCAATTAGTTGAAAGGGGTGTGTTCAAAAAAATAGCAGTGTCTGCCGTTGACTGTACAAACACAAAACTATGTTGTACAAACGTTTTTGTTTCTAGGATTTAGCAATCCTGTGAATCACTAAACTAATATTTAGTTGTATGACCACAGTTTTTTATAACTGCTTCACATCTGTGTGGCATGGAGTCAACCAACTTGTGGCACCTTTCAGCTGTTATTACACTCCATGATTCTTTAACAACATTCCACAATTCATTTACATTTCTTGGTTTTGCTTCAGAAACAGCATTTTTGATATCTGTGAAGCTAATCTATTTTCAAGAATCCCCCGCAAAGTCCCTCTGTTAAAAAAAAGGCATGTGCAGAAGAGGTTACAATTTGCCAAAGAACACGTCAACTGGCCTAAAGAGAAATGGAGGAACATTTTGTGGACTGATGAGAGTAAAATTGTTCTTTTTGGGTCCAAGGGCTACAGACAGTTTGTGAGACGACCCCCAAACTCTGAATTCAAGCCACAGTACACAGTGAAGACAGTGAAGCATGGTGGTGCAAGCATCATGATATGGGCATGTTTCTCCTACTATGGTGTTGGGCCTATTTATCGCATACCAGGGATCATGGATCAGTTTGCATATGTCAAAATACTTGAAGAGGTCATGTTGCCTTATGCTGAAGAGGACATGCCCTTGAAATGGTTGTTTCAACAAGACAATGACCCCAAACACACTAGTAAACGAGCAAAGTGTTGGTTCCAAACCAACAAAATTAATGTTATGGAGTGGCCAGCCCAATCCCCGGACCTTAATCCAATCGAGAACTTGTGGGGTGATATCAAAAATGCTGTTTCTGAAGCAAAACCAAGAAATGTAAATGAATTGTGGAATGTTGTTAAAGAATCATGGAGTGGAATAACAGCTGAAAGGTGCCACAAGTTGGTTGACTCCATGCCACACAGATGTGAAGCAGTTATAAAAAACTGTGGTCATACAACTAAATATTAGTTTAGTGATTCACAGGATTGCTAAATCCTAGAAACAAAAACGTTTGTACAACATAGTTTTGTGTTTGTACAGTCAACGGCAGACACTGCTATTTTTTTGAACACACCCCTTTCAACTAATTGCCCAATTTCACAGCCTTAAGAGCGTGCATATCATGAATGCTGGGTCTTGTTTGCTTTCTGAGAATCTACTGCACCTACTGGTAACTTGTTTGCCATGTAGCAATAAAAAATATACTAAAAACCTGGATTATTCTGGTTAGTCACATTGTACTGCTATTATTTTGAACAATACTGTAGATGTGTGCGAGATTCAGGACGTCACACTGACAGGTTTAATCAGCTCAAACCAAGTGGTGCTAAGCCGAAAGAAGACTCTACACCTCCCTCTGATGGTGGCTGAGCTGAGCTATTTTTAACAATTTTGCAAATGATTCCCTTTGGTGACTTTTTAACTTTAAATGCCAACCAATAAAAAGTTCATTCAAAGAGTGACATTACAATTAATGGGGTCAATATACTATACCCAATATTCATATACATTAAACCTTGAAAGATTTTATTGCAGTGTTATAATTCAAAATGGCATCAAATGTCCTTTTAAAGACATGTCCAGTGTTTGGTGAACCTTATACCTGTGACCACAATCTGCAATTGTAACAAATGAAGAAAAAAAAATCTTTGTGGTCAAGTTTATCAGACTGAAGTGAAATGTATTATGTAACAAAAAAAGAACATGAAATTAAAATCAACGATAAGAACCTTTAGTTACTATGTGTTTACAAATGTATTTATTTTATTTTTATAAGAGTGCAACCAAATAAACAATACCAAACAAATTAAATGAAACCTAACCTAAATCTATCCATCATCTATACACTTAGCCTGAACAGGGTTCACCTAAATTTATAACATCCTAAACCAACTCACTCTGTCTACTTATCTCTCCGATAAACACATTGATTTCATTTCATATTATCAGGGCTGTTACTTCTATTATTGTTTCATGGATCTTATGGCTATTCAATTATTTTTCACCATTTGGTTTGTCTGATGTTATTTAGAGCCAGCTGAGTGTTGGGCGCGTGATGTTTGACCTCACCCATTTCTTTTTAGTAATTTATATACAGTGCCTTGCGAAAGTATTCGGCCCCCTTGAACTTTGCAACCTTTTGCCACATTTCAGGCTTCAAACATAAAGATATAAAACTGTAATTTTTTGTGAAGAATCAACAACAAGTGGGACACAATCATGAAGTGGAACGAAATTTATTGGATATTTCAAACTTTTTTAACAAATAAAAAACTGAAAAATTGGCCGTGCAAAATTATTCAGCCCCCTTAAGTTAATACTTGGTAGCGCCACCTTTTGCTGCGATTACAGCTGTAAGTCACTTGGGGTATGTCTCTATCAGTTTTGCACATCGAGAGACTGAAATTTTTGCCCATGCCTCCTTGCAAAACAGCTCGAGCTCAGTGAGGTTGGATGGAGAGCATTTGTGAACAGCAGTTTTCAGTTCTTTCCACAGATTCTCGAGTGGATTCAGGTCTGGACTTTGACTTGGCCATTCTAACACCTGGATATGTTTATTTGTGAACCATTCCATTGTAGATTTTGCTTTATGTTTTGGATCATTGTCTTGTTGGAAGACAAATCTCCATCCCAGTCTCAGGTCTTTTGCAGACTCCATCAGGTTTCCTTCCAGAATGGTCCTGTATTTGGCTCCATCCATCTTCCCATCAATTTTAACCATCTTCCCTGTCCCTGCTGAAGAAAAGCAGGCCCAAACCAGGATGCTGCCACCACCATGTTTGACAATGGGGATGGTGTGTTCAGGGTGATGAGCTGTGTTGCTTTTACGCCAAACATAACGTTTTGCATTGTTGCCAAAAAGTTCGATTTTGGTTTCATCTGACCAGAGCACCTTCTTCCACATGTTTGGTGCGTCTCCCAGGTGGCTTGTGGCAAACTTTAAACAACACTTTTTATGGATATCTTTAAGAAATGGCTTTCTTCTTGCCACTCTTCCATAAAGGCCAGATTTGTGCAGTATACGACTGATTGTTGTCCTATGGACAGAGTCTCCCACCTCAGCTGTAGATCTCTGCAGTTCATCCAGAGTGATCATGGGCCTCTTGGCTGCATCTCTGATCAGTCTTCTCCTTGTATGAGCTGAAAGTTTAGAGGGACGGCCAGGTCTTGGTAGATTTGCAGTGGTCTGATACTCCTTCCATTTCAATATTATCACTTGCACAGTGCTCCTTGAGATGTTTAAAGCTTGGGAAATCTTTTTGTATCCAAATCCGGCTTTAAACTTCTCCACAACAGTATCTCGGACCTGCCTGGTGTGTTCCTTGTTCTTCATGATGCTCTCTGCGCTTTAAACAGACCTCTGAGACTATCACAGTGCAGGTGCATTTATACGGAGACTTGATTACACACAGGTGGATTCTATTTATCATCATTAGTTTCAGTTTTTTATTTGTTAAAAACGTTTGAAATATCCAATAAATTTCGTTCCACTTCATGATTGTGTCCCACTTGTTGTTGATTCTTCACAAAAAATTACAGTTTTATATCTTTATGTTTGAAGCCTGAAATGTGGCAAAAGGTCGCAAAGTTCAAGGGGGCCGAATACTTTCGCAAGGCACTGTAATAATGCCCAATTCATGCTCATGCCTAAATTTCATTCCAGTTACACTTTTTAAAATTGAAACACCTTTTAGGACAGATAATCTGTCACTGTCCCCTCATACGATATCAGTTCATACAGACTAAATAAGAAATGCCTTATAAACACAAACAGAAGACCACAGGATGTCATTTGAGTTTATTCTGTGGTATGTTACATGTGACCATTAACTTCCAGGAAGTTACAGTTGCCACAAAGATACAATAAATATACTGTATTAAGGTACTCGGATAGGAAAAAAGAGTAGGTGTGGAGGAGTGGGGTGGGGGCACGGATGGGGCTGGCACTAACAGTGTGCACAAGCTGAGGAGAGTCGATTGTGTGTGATGTCAAGTAACAAGGAGCGGAACATGATTTTAAAAACATTTTTGACTAATTCTTTGAAAAACATTGAAAGAACAAAAAAGAACAGTGGTATAATACTACAAGCAGGAAATTTTTTACATGTATAAAAGAGGAATAAATAAAATGTATCATTTTACAGATACAATAAAAACAAAAGAGATGTTTATTTCCCTCAGAATTTGGTGTGCGAGAGAGCGAGAGAGACACAAGGATGATAACGGAGAGGAGAGGTCTCCCTCCCTCCCTCTCTGTCAAGTGGCAGGAATCAGCATCCGGAAACCTACGGGTGTGTTGCTATGGCGATGCTTCAGGAGAGCAGGCAGGAGCTGGGTGGGGTGTCAAGCTGTGGAACCAGAGTTATACTGGTTTCTAAGGCTTGGTATGGCACGTTGCTCTCAAACACTACAGTCCTACAGTCTCTGAGTCTTGGTCCAAGTCCAGGACCTCTCACCCACTCTACCCCTTTTCTTATAGATCATTCCCTTCATTATTATCTCACCCTAAGATTTGGACTCCAGCTCTATCTGTATGTGCCACACCACACCACACACCCCTAGATCTCTGCCATCCTCCTATCAGCCTCTGCTAAATCCCCTATGTACCCCTTTCCTCAGTCTGACTCTAGAAGGCACTGGTAAATACTTATTTCTTCACATTCTAACACCTGGATTCTTTATTGAACATAAGCAATTGAAGCAATGAGGATGCACAAAAAAATAAACCGATACACACGGGCCAGCCAGGTCATTTACAGGGTACAGCTGGATCCCAAAGATGCTACCAGTTTTTCTTTATACCTGCATTAACATTACAAGGTTTTCATCACTTAACAGTCTGCTGATGGTAGAGGCAACTGGATATGTAAACATCAACAAGGCTAACATCATAACAGGCTGAGTGATGCACAAAATTACTGTTTAGATATGGTCCATAGGTGGGTTGAATCTTTTTGAATGGCCTCAATTAGTAGTTACTTCTTCGAAGAAAATCTTGTAGCAAAAACACCTGGTATGGGTTCTGATGTGCTGCCTTCATCCTTGATACAAAAGTCAAATACATCGTCATAAGTCATAGACCTCAAAAGCCTGCACAGTTTAAGGGTATTGTTTCCCATTTAGTTCTTGACTTTGTTATTTAGCATGCTATTTCTGAGACAGTACATTTTCAAAGTCCATGTCTGCGAAGAAGAAGGCAACAGACTGGAACCTATGCAACCAAATGAGCTGCAAGTAACTACGACCTAATAACAGCAACACTGAGTACATCTTTAATGAGAATCTAATTGAATACCCAACTCGTTCATTTTCTTCCAAGTCCATGTGCATCTACAGAGCAGTGGAAAGAACGACACACAAGGTTGGAAAGACTGGCTTGTGTACAGACCGTGGGAGTGTCTGTACTGTGAACCTGGGTGTGGAAAAGAGTCATCCCTTTGGATATTTACACAGTGAATGGGGCAGACTCCTACTCTACACACTGAGATTGGCTGGTACTTGGTACATTTGGAATGGTTTACTATGGTGATAGTAGTAACTCACGAGTCTAAAGTGTCTATCTCTAGTTTTCCTGTTTAACATCTGAGTTACAAAAGCACTAGAAGCAATGATTTGAAGGTTGTAGCTGCAGTTAAGCAGCTACTTGGACCATTAAAGGTTTTCTCTTCCATGCTTCCATGGCTTGGTGTTTTTTTTTTTTTGTTTTTTTTTACATTTAGAGAGCATCTTTCAGATCAGTTAGTCCATACACCACTTTCTGTTTTGTCTGTACAACTTAACGCTGCAATTTAAATACAGTAACTCATTTTGAAGAAAACATTATAGAGTTTACTTTGGGAAATACACATTCACTTACTTCTCACTTTAAGTAAAGTGATTTACAGTAAATACGAAGCTCAAGACAGCAGCTTAACAAAGACGCTACACAGGTCACCTAACTGTCCAGTGATAATGAAACCCACCTACCAGCACCCCTCAGGCTCACTGACTAACACGGTATATCTTGTTTGTTTAATCCCTACATGTAGTGGTTTTCCTGGTGGGGTATGTTCCGGATTCATTTTTAGCTGGGTGAATTAACGTCCTGGTTGCCTGGCAACTTCCAAATGATGACAAAAAACGGCCTTAGCATCAAGCCCCTGTAAACCAGTGCATGTCATTTTTACAGTATCAATGTGAGTAGACCGATGAGACACTGTGAAGGGCATTAATTAGTGAGCTGCAGAGGTGCTGCTAGGTGGACTTTGTTACCTCTGGATAAAATCCTGCTGGCTGTTTTCAGGCTGTATTGAACAGACAGGCACGAGCGTGGCGTCCATCCTTTTATCTATCTCTCGGCAAGGAAGCAAGTAATTTCCTATTCCATCCCTTTAGGTCTATCAAGGCAGTTTTTAGACTGCGTCAAGCCTTGGTGGACCCATGTTTTGTCTCGCTAAGTCAGCTTCTCACTAAGAACACTTTGATTAACACATCAGAAACATATCACACAAACTCCCTTCACCTGAAACTACGGGGGTGGCCCCTGAAGCTCACAAAAGAGAAAAAAAAGAAAAATCATAAAAATCATCATCTTTGGCCCTCTGCTGATGCTCCAAACCTACCCAGAGCAGAAATGTAAAAGTGTTTAGTTGCCCACTCAAAAATGATGACTATAAATAACAGACTTCCATTGCATTTGTGCCTTAGAACGAAATTCTGTACATAAAGTACTAACCCTGTCTGTACATGCTACCTACAGTACACAAGGATGTGTCAAACCTCTGACCTTTTTCTAAAATATCAACTTTCTAAGCAAAGGATGTTTTATTATACAGCAGAAATTATAGCTTCTTTTCCTTTTGACAACATGATGTTATTTGTTTTCCTTGTGGAACGCCAGCAGTTATGAAAATATCTGACAATAAAACAGTAAAAGTCACAGATCGGGACAACTTTGTCTTCTTTATCAACCCTTTCGGTTCTAAGCAGACCTCTATTCACACAGGATGCACTGAACAAAGAAACAAACAAAACATTAAAAAGGTTTTCTTGTATCTGTTACCATCTGAGTCATGGTACATGTCTCCATGTTACAAGGTTCCCTGTTATTTGAGGTGAAATGTGGTAAACAGAGTAGTTTCACTCCATCAGAAAAAATAAAATAAAAACAAACAGCTAAAAAACACCTGCTGTCTTTGCTTCTTACATCAAGGCAAATCAAATAAGCTCCAGAGTGGCAGCCGAGATTTCATCACACCATAATCTTACAACTTCTCCTATAGCTGCTCCTCTCTGCTTTGAAATTTACAGACCTCTACAGCGTTTTGAAATGGACTGGTTAAAAATAAATAAACCTTTTTTTAAAAGACTCTTCTTGCATTTAAGTCTCTACTTTTCTTGACAAGTTGGTTTTAATAAAGTCAATGAAGAAGAGAGTTGAAGGAAATACTTGTATTATGGAACTTCAAAGTTCCTGGCTCTAAGTCTCCCAGTGTGACTGAAAGCATGTGAGACTGTGTGTGTGTGTGTGTGTGTGTGTGTGTGTGTGTGTGTGTGTGTGTGTGTGTATAAGGGCACCACTCTCTCTGTGGGATATGGCTGCTACTTGAAGACATAGTTGATCAGGACTTGAAGGAGGACGAGGAAGATGATGATGACGTAGTCACGCTGTTGGAGGAAGGTGCTGCCCTCGGGCCGACTTGCTGCGCGGCTCCGCAGCACACTGATGCTCCTACAAACACACAAAGATCCTGTGTTGGTGTTCATAAGATGGGCAACATATCCTGCTCGTGGTACATCGTGGCTGATGCCCTTCTCACCTGTTGATGTCCTCCTGCGTCTGCTTTATAGAGTCAATGGCACTTTGAAGTTCACTGAGGTCTGCTCCTTTTTTCCTCAGCCGACTGTTATGCTTGCTTTTCTGTCCTGTAACAAAGGATGTTAAACAGGATTTCTGCGGTGTTCAACAAACTGAATGTAAAACACCACATAAATAGAAATTCACACATTTTTCAGGATCTTATCAGTAGGAACAATGCAGCCTGAAATTATTTAATAAGTGCAGGAATGTATTGACATTTACATTTTTTTCTCTCTGTGCTTTCTAAATTTGTCTATCAAGATTGGTATGTGATATCTGTCCTTATGGTGTCTTGTTGCTTGCTCTCTGTTGTTTTTGTCCCTTACTGCTGCTGGAACACTGGAATTTCCAGACTGTGGGATCAATAAAGTTCTACCTACCTACCATAACTTTGTTGTCCGGTGTATAGAACAATTGTTTCTAGTAATATTTAGGTTCAGCTGATTAGCTTTCTGCTGTGGCTAGCAATAGCCGCAGTACATGCTAAAGGTTTAGCATTGACTAAAAGGTTAGGAAAATACATGAAATATTGGGGGGTGGGGGGGTCTTCATTTGACCAGATTTAAACAGTTAAAACCAGGCTAAATTTGGACTTAAAATGCACATTTTTCAGCTGTCTGTGTTACATATAACTGCTGTTTCAACAGCATTTCCATGGTGATATTTGACCATGTAGTTAGGACCTGCTTCAAGCAGTAGGCAGTTACAACAACAGTTTAAATGTTTCAACTAGTTTTTACCTACAAGTTTTGAACTGCTGATGGGGCCGTATATTACACAGTTAAATCTTACCAAATACTGACTTCTACCTTAAAAAGTACAGTAAAATTCCATTTAATTCATGTTTTCTTGCAAGCATGTACAGTTGTATTTAAGTGCTAATGTCTCACGTTCACTGCCAGATGAGTCTTGGTGGTCGGGTTCAGGTGAAGAGCAGCCACTCTCTGGGCTGTTGGGCTTGTCAGTCTTGTGTTTCCTCTTTGGCACCATTACCTTTACACACAGAGATACACACATAACACACACAAACATGTAAAGATAAAAGAAGTCTACACACACCAGCTACAATCTAATGCTGTAAGTACACATGTAGAGTATCATCCAAGACTCAAAATCCCAAATAGAAAATACACAGAATTATTTACATATGCCTTCATAGCAGCATTATGTCTGCTACGAGTTCTCCTACCCACACACTCACATGCAAACATGCTAGTCTGCGTTCCTGCAGTAGTGACAGCTGTACAGGGCATGCTGGTAACATTAGCAAGTCCCATCCAGCTAAAGCCCTGAATTATACAGTCACCACTCAATATGAACCAAACCTGCCAAGAGCTGGAACATTACAATCATTTAGTTCAAAGTAATTAAAATCAGATTACAGCTCTTATTTCTAGTGTTTTATTAAATGTGATGCAGTTTGAGGTTGGCAGCATAAGAACATTTCAGATGTTGCTTGATAAATGCCAGAAGCTCAAAATGATAAATTACACAGACAAAAAACTAAGGAAGAAGGTTTCTTCCCATTAAAGAGATAATGTTATTAACTATTTGTAAGACTGTTTTTTTCAAGAAGACAAGGTTGTACTATGTACTGTGTGAAGAGCGGCCAATCAGAACCTGTCTGATAGTGAGACACTGTGTTGCTCTGATCTGACTGGTGCCTAGCAGAGACAGTTTGACAAATCTAAACCAAAGCCTCAAAGTAGTGATTGACAGATAATTGATTTATCCACCAAACAAAATCTTCACTGGTTTGGGCACTTGACAGGTGGTAAGACACAAAACAATGACAAAAACACTACCAGAAATTACAGTGGCTGTACAACAGCAGTCTTCATAACACAAATGACCAGCAGCTCAGTCAATTTGTGAACACAACATAAAAGCAAACAAAATGAAGATGAGGACAGGGGAAGGGTGAGGAGGGTGTGACGGGTACCCATGAAACAACCAGGCACCGATGGCGGTGGTTGGTCTGTTGATGTGATGGATGAAGGTGAAGCTGTTGTTCTCTTTTCTGGGATTAGTATGAGAAATAACCATCTTTAATTTTTATTGGGTATATTATAAATGTGCCTAAAAATACTTTTTTCTCTCAACATTTTTGCTTGGTTTTGGTCTCTTCCAACACCTGAATTAAATATCTGACTCCGTAGCTGATGAATGCTCTGGTGTGTTCAATAGCAACTTGCTAAGTTTGTCTGTCTGCCATTTGGTGTTGGACAGCTAGTGTGCAGTGTACTTATTAGAACAAAACAATAAAAACATGGGCTGGGAAATCAAAACACTGATCTGGAAAATGCACATTACTCTACAGAGCTGAGGAGGACTGCAGAATTGGAAAATATTCCACCATATCACCGCAAGCAATAACTTTCACACTACAACTTCTTTTTGTTTAGTTTTTATACAAATACTGATTACAGCTCTATTAAAGTGGAATAAAATGGACATTGCAAAGCTCATTCTATACGGGTATCAAGTGGTACCATGGTTGTATTATGTAAGAATGATCCACAAAATGTATGTCTGGAATGTGCAAGGAAATAATGTCTCCAAATACTGTTAGTGTGGCACATGTTAAATTAGTATTTCCCTTTTACGAGGCACACAAAGAAACAACTTACAGTACTTTAATACGCAGTTTGACATGCCCTTCATTCCCATACAGGCAAAACAGCAAGTGCCAGGGCAATAAAAAAAAAAGATTGAGGTAGAGAAGCACAAAAAGAGCACAGGCGGCGATGGCAGTGGCAGCACAGCGATGATGGCACACATAGGAGTGACAACGGAGATGGTGCACCAAGTGCTGTGCGGAAGGTGGCAAGATGTGTTTTTTTAGTGGCGGTGTTTGATCAGTACAACCTACCTGGCACTTGCAATTGTCCCGCCGCGGCCCCTGGTTACTCAGACTAATAAGACTGCCAGAACGTACCATAGGGGTGCGGTGCCGGACTTTGGTCTGGATACAGCCGTCTTTCTCAAACTGAATCAGGTCATTGAGTGGATCCCACGGCCTTGTGCTGGAGACGGAGAGACAAAAGAAAAGGGGACACATAGAGAAGGAAAAATTATGAGACAGATAAGTGAAGCATGGGAGAACAGAAGACATGAAACATAAATGAAAAACGTCCTGTGTAGAATGATCTCCTCCTAGCCTCTGACAAAGGACTCATCTCTATACTTGCCTTTTTAGATCAGGTGTGTTCAGTCAGTCAGAAGCTGGAAGATACCAATTCACTTTATCTTTCCTCACTCCACTTTCATCTAAGATGGTATCTTCCAGCTTCTGACTGACTGAACACACCTGAGCCAGGTAATCAGCAGCAGGTCAGGCAGGGATAGTTGGAAAATAAGCAGGACAGCGGCCTTCGACGACTGGAATTGGGCACCCCATGTTTTACCTCCTTCCACAAGGACTTGGTCGGCTCGGTAGCATGTTAGCCCGGCTAGCTGGATAGCTGAGCCCGGGGTGTTGTCGTTTAGCCACGTCTCCGTAAAGATGAAAACACAGCAGTCCCTCACATCACGCCGCGCTGATCTCAGGAGCTGTATGTGGTCTATTTTGTTGTCCAGTGAGCGTACATTGGCCATAATGAGGGATGGTATCACGGGTCTGTGTGGGCTAGCTGCTAGCCTAGCCTGGATGCCTGCATGTTTGCCCCACTTCTGTTTACACTCGCAACGCTTCCGACGCATCCTCTCAAGGGGTGATACAGCCGGCGTGTACGGTGATGTAGGAATCCGGCGGAGAAGCCCCAGGCTCGTTCACACTGCAGGTCTTAATGCTTAGATCGGAATTTTTTTTTTGCCGAAATCCGATTTTTTGCGCTGTTCTTCACCCTGTCATTTAAATGCGACTGCCATCTGTCTCATGTGTGAATGGTATACGGTCCTGAGGTGACCCGCAGTGTGAACAACAGCGCAAAAAAATCGGATATCGGCAAAAAAATCCGATCTGAGCATTAAGACCTGCAGTGTGAACGTAGTCTAAGTTCCTCTGCAACTTCCTGGTCCAAGTTGACATGTTTTGACTTATATCCTATATCCACAAGGCAGTGGCGACTGTATTTTGGGCGCAACGTAGAGGTTGAACTACGTGCACCAGAATATGAACACAACAAACGCGAACACGCACTATAACACACATTTCTAGGCACACAACTCAGAGAGAGGGGCCGCTGCGTTTGTTCGCACCGCCATCTTGTTAAAGAAACTGCACTAAATTGGTTCAAATCTTATTCATCAGAAAGATTCCAATTTGTTCATGTTAACTCTGAATCTTCTGCGCAGACTGAAGCTATTCATGGCATTACACAGGGCTCTGTGTTAGGTCCAGTTCTCTTGATTTTATACATACTCCCTTTAGGCAATATTATCAGGAAGTACAGCATAAATTTCCATTGCTACGCAGATGATACTCAGTTATATTTACCTATGAACCCAAATGAATCAGATCTGTTGGTCAAATTTCAATCATGTTTTAGAGACATAAAGGCCTGGATGACCTGTAATTTCTTACTTCTAAACTCTTGAAAATTGAAGTTATAGTACTTGGGTCTGAATATCTTGAAATGTGATATATAACCATATAGTTATTCTAGATGACATATCTCTAGCCTCCAGTACTACTGTGAGGAACCTTGGAATCATTTTTAACCAGGATATGTCCTTTAAATCCCACGTAAACCAAGTCTCTGGAACTGCCTTCTTTCACCTGAGCAATATTTCCAAAATTAGGAGCATCCTGTCTCAAAGTGATGCTGAAAAACGGGTCCATACATTTGTTACTTCCGGGCTGTACTACTGTAACTCTTTACTATCAGGATGTTCCAATAACTCCATAAAAAGCCTCCAGTTAAAAAGGCCGCAGCCAGAGTAGTGACAGGAACTAGCAAGAGAGATCATCTCTCCCATATTAGCTTCTCTCCAGTGGCTCCCCTGTAAAATCCAGAATGGATTTTAAAATCCTTCTCCTAAGATACAAAGTCCTTAATGACAAGGCTCCATCATATCTTAAAGACCTCACAGAGCCTCATCATCCCAACAGAGTTCAATTATAAAGCACCAGAAAAATATTTGCTGTATTTAAGGCACTTAGAAAGGTACTTAGTATGTTGTGATATGTCTTCCGATATTTCATGGCATCATAATAACTAATGTGGCTGAACAGGGATAAGACTGACAATCATCTTGGTAAATGCAAGCAAACGGGGGGCCTGGGCTGTTCTGATGGTACTGAGTATATTTAACTATACTAGTGGTTTCTAGTCGACAGGATGGTCTTCATCTGGGCCCATGTAGTGGACTATCACTCTATGGAATTACTGGACATGCATTCTAGGATAAGTTTGGTTTGGTGTATCATCCCTTAGTTATAGGCATAGGCTGAGGGATGTCACATGATGCTGAGCTCCTCTCCTCTCTCTCCGTGCATTCGTATGCCACCATTACATGTCACTAACTATGTGTCTCCTCTCTCCCGTAGTGTGTCCTCTCTCTCCCTGGACCTTTCTGCAGGTAGCCCTACTTTGGAGCTGTGTTGGTTTTGTCTTGTTGCTTTTCTTTTCTCTCTCCTCTATCCTCACCCCAACCGGTCAAGGCAGAAGGCTGCCCACAGGGCTAAGGTCTGTCTGAGGTCTCTTCCATTAAAGGGACTTTTTCCTCACGACTGTCGGCAAGTGCTTGCTCAAAGGGGATTTGTTGGGTTTTTCCTCAATAATAATAATAATAATAATAGTGATAATAGTAAGGTCTAGACCTTACTTTGTAAAGTGTCCTGAGACAACTTTTCTTGTGATTGGGTTCCATACAAATAAAATTAAAACTGGAACTGAAAACAAAAAGAAAAGAAATAATATCCTTAAAGTAGGCTGGACCCCCACTGCTGTTACAAAAAATCACCACTAGATGGTATTGTGCTACACTAGCCATTGTAGAATGGAACACAGGATTACCAGTTGGACAAAACTTTAAACTAATGCATCCACTGCTAAAACAAGCTGTAAGATCAACATATGTATCCTAAATCAGGCCAGAGGGACAGACTTAATAAGAAAGCCTTAAGTCCTGAAGTGGCCTTGGATGTCGTTGGAACATGTTCAAACTGTGCTACTGTATGCATGCAGTTATAGTATCATTGGCTTAACATACAAATTCCATCTCCACATACGTCCACCAATAAACAGCAAAAATTTGCAGCACATTCATTCCAAATTTATGTTTGCTGTAATTTAGGAACACTATGTCTTCATTAAATAGTTTGTCCATAATATAGCAGTTAATCTTTAACATGACCTACAGTTCATATTACATTTTGGTCACAATTCTTTATCTTATCTCATCAGAGATGCACAGTAAGCCCATCCAAAAGTATTTAAAAATAGTACACTGTAGTAACAAGGTAGCAATTCATCTTCTATTATCTTAGTTTAAATTGGTTCACAGGCAGCAGGGGAATGATCACTCACTCAGCATATTTATAATGCCATTCTCCAGTGATGGGGTCCTGCTCGAATAGGGAGGGGATCCACTCCTCGCATTTGGCTTTCCGCTCGCGGGCTGACTTCCTCTGAACTTCCTCCAGGAAGAACTTCTCATTTGTGGCCTCGGTCTGATCCTTGTTAATGATGGCCCGGGTCACGTGCTGCCACAGTCTGATGAACAGCGGGAGGACAAGGTCGTTAAGATAAGTTTAGACCATTTGGACAACAACAGAATGCATACATTTACCCACATTAAAATGTGTTTAAATACAGTAGATAAATTAGCTGTTGATACTAGTTAAGACAATAGTTAGGCCTAAGTGTACCTTTCTGATTCGTAATCTCCCTGCTCCTCTAGTGGGACGGTGCAGCGGATCAGGCGACTCTGTCTCAGCTCTGGTGTCGGGTTCCAGAAAGTGTCCACTGTCCCCGTCTTCTTGTCGTTGATGAAGATCTCACTGTCCTGTGAGTGGAGGGTCAAAATTTCTCCTCAAAGACAGATTCTACCTGGCCATCTCAGTCTCTTCCATTGTTTAGTTTTATTAATAGTGTGGTTAGAACAAAATAAAACAAAAGTTTTGCCTTTTAGACTATAAATTTCATTTTTGTCAAGCAACCAGCTGCAGTAACTACCACCATAAAGCTTGTGTGAGAAAAGCCATTCTGGGTTCAGTGAAGTTTCAGCTTTATTGTGTGATATGAACTCTTCATCACTGTAAGGCTGTAATTATATTACTTACTGTTTTCTATAGTTTTACCCTTCACAATTTCATATTCACATTTTAAAATGAGGTTATAGTCACAGAGCCCTATTCACTGATTACAAGAAAGAAAAAATAAAGATGTAGGAAGGAAGAAGTAAACCAATGAAAAGCTGAAAGCAGTGCTTTATACCTACAATATCATAACAAGTACATAGAAAAATGGGTCTTACCCAGTGTCCTTCTAGTGTAGCTAGCACCTCCTTTCCCAGCTTGATCTTTCCAGAGATTTCATTGACGCTGTCGCTGCTCCCCAGGAAGGGCTGGAAAGGAGAAAAAGAGACAAGAGGTGTATTGAGAGGAAAGGAGAGGAGGAAGGTAAGGCAAGAGAACAAAGGGGAGGAATGATTGAGAAAGAGCAAAGCATAGGGGAGGAAAGAGCAGGAAAAGGAGGATGGGATATAATAGCAAGAAAAAGACAAAGGAAGGTTTAGATGGAGGGAAGTGACAGATGAGAGAGGAAGAAACACAGGACATAGAAAGAGGGGGAGTGTTTTAGAGATGAAGGGAAGGACAGATATACACACACAACTAGTTAACTTTCTGTAATTACTGTGGAAGGGAAAAATCATCTCATTTTATCAGCATTTTGTTTCTGTGGTATGTTAAAACATGAATAATGGCTTGGCTCATTCTGTTCAAGTTCTTCATTTCAGACTGTTTAAATGACAGAGATCAGAGTCACAGAGATAAGTCTTCAATTGCAGCTTCAAACTTGTAAAAGCATTTTAATGTAAGACCAGGTTTAACACCAATTAACAATAGAACTATGTGAGCAAGCAACTGCAATCAATTTCAATTAAAGTGGTTAATGAAATTAATTATTCCATTAGGAAAACATCACTCTGTTCATTCTGATCTTAAAGGTACAAGGATCCTTAGCACAAGGATTAATTTTAATATTTAAGAAACCATTTACTGACTGTTTCAGACCCAAACATATCCTAACTAGTTTTTAAATGAAAATCTGTGCATTCCCCTGTTTGTACTCTCTGCCATGTACCTGTCATTAGCTCATGACGTAACACATTTGGTATTGAATCATGGTGTGGAGGAAGGGATGTTTTCAGGGAGGGTAAAGGAGTGAATGGAGTGGAGTTGGTGATGGTGTGGGAGAGTGATAAGTTCAGAAAAACAAAGAGAGGTTTTGCTAGCTGTTTGTTGAGTCCTACAGGTATCACATCTATAAAGGATATGAGAAGCTCCCCCCCAAGATGTTTATTACTGGACAGCTCCAGATGTCTTGTTCTAAATCTCTTATTCTACATAGCTGAAAGACTGAAGGCATATTCTACTCTTATTCCTGTTAACTAGTAAACACAGTCATACCTTCAGTTTGAACTCCAGGTGAGCATTGTACCCCGTTTTCTCACATGCGATGGTGATTTGACCACCCAGCTCCAGGGTCATGGTGCCATACAAGATGCCTACCAGATGAACAAGCACCAAAACAAGTTACCATCAGCACAGATAACCACAAAACTCAGATGCATGCTGAAAATGTAATCACTGCCCTTTTTATTATTCTGTATTTTTTCACAACAACAAACCATGGACTTCCCAGGCACTACAAAGTAAACAGCACGTATTAGGCTAGAGAATTTAAAATTTCGGAAAACATTTTAGGTGTGCGAGCTCCAACCACTGCCACCGCCTCCCCTCACACTACCTAGATATGAGCTATCATCACTGAGCTGTTAGTTGGACTTGCAGAACACAGCAGTACAAGGTTTGTCCATACGTGATGAAATAAGACCCAGTGACAGCATGTTGAAATATCATGTAGAGAATGTTGTAAGAGACAGAGAAAATAACAGAAACAGAGACAGACACAGAGATAGAGTGACAATGTGTGTGTCTGTGTGAAAGAAACAGGGACACAAGATGGAGCACTTTATTTTCAGAATAGCAAGAAATGACATCAGAGGAAAAATCTCCAGTGGGGCTGAACAAGGGACTTAAAACTAAAACCCATCCAATTAACAAACAATAAAAGCTATTAAAATGATTTTTGAACACTTATAGGTCCAGGACACTTGTATAATTGAGAGATTGAATGACTGATGTAAGTGGCATCATGGTAATGTGATTAATAATGAGAGGTGTCAAACTGAAAACAGTCAAAATCACATCAACTTTAATCGGCTGTCATTCAGAAACTACATCAAATTAAAAGGCTACTTTACAGTAAGGTAGGTAAAGTGTGTAATGCCACTGTGTCTTTGAATAACCCTCCTACATGAAACAATGGCAAAAATAGCTGGCTTTAAATTTCAGCAGGCACTGATGTTCACTGTAGGGCCTCCTATTGCCATTGCATGAAATTCAACACACTCCTTCGGTGCAGAAGTTCCCCAGGTTTGGTTGAAATATAGTGATCCACTGATGGGTTATATCTTATCAAATTTTTAATGGCAACAGGAAGTGGGATTATGATATATTTTGGCTGACTGTAGCACCCCCCACTGTTGACTGAGCATAAAATTCTATCGGGTGAGACAAGCTTGGTTATGCTTCATGTCTTATATTATTATAATAATATTATAATATTATATATTTCAAAGATAAACCGTGCATGTAGTGCCCCAGAGTAGCGAAAGTTAACACAATTTTACTGGCCTGCTCAGTGTGGTCCTGTGCCTAGAATCCAATTTTGGTTGCTTTTGGACATAGAGATATACTATTTGACACCTTTCTATCCCACCCACTCATCTTCAGTGGCCAATAGCAGGAGAATGGTAAGGCATATTGCTGGATGAGTGGTATGGTTGTTTTGGGTGTGCTCCAAAAAGGGGATTGACCAAGTTTGGTGAGGAATAGATGATGCATGGAGAATAGGGAGTGGCAAAAGGGTTTTACAAAAAAATTCAAAATAGCAGAAAATCTAGTCAGACAGTTTCAAAGGCAAAAAAACTTTGGAAGCTTCCAAGGAATGCAAAGAAACAAAGAACTATTTTCTAGACCTCGCAGGTCAAGAGATATTAATGAAAATGTAAAAAGGTCACATAAATGCCCATAATTGACCACCAGGTGGTGCAAATGAGGTCAGGTTTTTGTAGGCAGTGTGTCTTGTCACAAGGAAGACATGCACTAAGTTTGCTATTATCTTTAAAAGTTTTTGAAGTATAAAAAAAGAAAAATAGGAAAAAGTAATTTTCAATTACAAGAATCCTACAGGATTGCAAGAGGTGCGCTATACTCCTTCAGAGCTCGCACACCTAATTAAAAGTATTTCAAAACTAAACAAACTCAAAACTAGGCCCAAATAACTCTCTCTGACCTTTACAGTGGGCATAGGGCATGTTCATCACATAATCCTCTCCACGGTTGAGAAAAGTGAGTCGAGCCTCCCCATCCAATATGGCCGACAGAGAGTTTCCTAAAAATGTAGGTAAACAATGTAATTGGTAGACATGAGGGCTACATGTAGAACGTCAAATAATTAATAAATTAATAAGTAAGTGGCGTGGTGTGTTGGTGGTGTGTGTGTGTGTGTTTGTACCATAGAACTTGGACTTTGCGAGGATGCTGCCACTGAGGCAGAATCCATCCTTCCTGTTGCTAACATAGAAGGCTGACACTGGAGGATGATGGGATACCTGAAAAACACACAGTCTCTAATTTGTGCCTCTAATGAGGTAGAAACATAAAGGGAATTTCAGCTATTTAAATAAACCAAAGACTCATCGCCAATAGTGGATGTACTGGACAGCCAAACCTAAAGCAATGCGCTTTAAGGGAATCATCTGTTGACTCAATTTATCAGTCTTTATTGAAATTACTCTTGGCATGACTCATGTTCTCATAAAGCTGATGGTACCTGTTCTGCGATGTAGAAGGTCTTGCTGTTGGCTTTCTGGTGGAGCCACAAGCAGCGGAACGTCTCTCCAATGATGGGATTGTAAGGCTTCTTCAACCCCTGTGGATTCAAAACAGAATTTTAGTGCAACACACCATATATAGAAATCATGTAGCTCATCAGCATGGAGTCAGATATACAGTACATGTTTTTCTGCTGACCTTTGGCTTTTTGTAAAATCCAGAGATGTACCACTTCACCACCTTCTTCATTCGACTGTAGGCGTTCTCTTCGATTGCAGCCCTGAGAATGAAACCAAACTTAGAACAATGGTCCTCTTGAGCACGTGCTGTGTATTCCATCTGCTGTTACAGAAATCTCTTGATTATCTTGTCCAGCTTTTAAAAATCATTTCTTCCTGCAATAATGTATCCAGAAAACTACTTCACAGCGAGCAGTCATCCTGTCTTGCTTTCTTCTGTCAGTACAGCACCACCCCATAAAAAAAAAAAAAAAAATCACAAAAACATGAATGTTTCTGCCATTAACATTTTGGGGGATATTTACGAAGGTTTTGCAGCTCGTTTTCTGGCACTAAACAGTGAAATTTCATGTTTATATTTGCTACAGAGACACAATGGAGTTTTGCAGCAGAGAAACATTAGAAATGCAGCACCACATGAATTTGTGGATTTGGTCTGCGATATGTATTTCCCATTAAGGGATGCAAAAATCATAGAGGGGTGAATGGAAATAAAGAGTTAATAAAAGAGTTAAGAACATGTTTGAGGAGGAAGAGGGTGTTTGTAAATCACACTGCTGACCAGAGAAGAATGTGAGAGACTTTTATAGGCTTTCAGGTCGAACCATGCTTCAATTGCTGAAGAAAATAAAAGATTATTTAACTGTCAGGACACTATGTGACTGAAGTTACAAAATGTGTTTGTTGATCTCTTCAAGTTAACTATAAATTGCCTGTAGGAGTGAGTGTGGGTGTGTGTGGTTGTCTGTCTCTAAGTATCAGCACTGTGATAGACTGGTGGCCTGTCCAGGGTGGACCCCGCCTCTCGCTCAATGTCTGCTGGGATTGGCTACAGACCCCGTGACCCTCGTTAGGATAAGCAGTATAGAAAATGGATGGATCATTTTTTACAGTACAAATGGAATCCTCATGTCATTGTTTTACCTCATTATTAGCCCTGAAATGCAACCGTTCCAACTTTTTTTTGGAATGTGTTGCAGGCATCAGAATTGAAGTGAATGTTTATATTGAAGAAAGAATAAAACTGATGAGGTATCACATCAAATAATGTGCTGCTGTATTCTTTTCAATGTAACACAGGACACAGATTATTTACAAATCACTATTTTCAGTTTTACTTTTGATTTTACATGCCATCTCAACTTTTTTCTGATTTGGGATTGTACACACTCTTTGCAACCTTGAAAATTAAAACTCTTTTTTTTGGTATATCAGCATTACTTCATTAAGTGATATGCAGGCTCCTTTTCTGATTTTCTTTCTAAAAAACTTGTACAAATAAAGAAATAGCACAAGCTTAAAGGTTGTCTGTCTCTAAGTATCAGCACTGTAATAAAGAAATAGCACAAGCTTAAAAGGATGCATTCTTCTGGAAGTCTAAATTATTAGAAGTTAAACACAAAAAAGTCTTACGGCAAACAAAAGGTTGGGCTTACTCTGAGAGAAAGTCGGCGTGGTAGTAGTAGTCTGAGAGTTTGTCCAGGAAGGACCGTGGTTCCAAGATAAAGGTGGGCAGCACCACCTTGGACAGGTCCATACCAGGTCGGACCTGCTTCAGCAGAGTCCAGATGAGAGATTTATTTTCTTCTGATACAGTCTCTGTCTGGGCAGCCTCACCAGCCTGGAGAGGGAAATGCACACTTTAGTAGACATGTTATAATTCACTCACTCCTATATGTAGACTTTTACACAAAGAATCAATGACTCCAAATGCTTCAAATCTTATGCAAATGATAGTGCAACTGGTGTGTAAAAGAAGGCTTTGATTAGTCCTAACTATGAACATTTTGCCTGAGTGTCAGTAGGTGTTTAATTAGAGAGCTGTCAAACAGATTTTCATCTGTATAGAAATGCATATTAGCACTTTCACAGTTGTCATCAGACCACTGCCACCCACACACACCAATCCACACAGACTGTGATCAAAGCCTGTCAATGTTGCAGCTTTCTTAACTGCCCGAGCAGCAGAACATGTTAGTTTCTGCTCATTATAAGAAACAAGAAACTTTATAAGAAAAAATCCTTTAGCTGAAGATTTAATTCAAGGTTAAGATGAAAGTGGTTGCTAGAAATCCTGAGATATCCTTTGTATGTGAACAGTGGACTTGAATCTACCTCTCCCAGTTCCTCATGGGACTGTTCCAGGTACAGGGTTTCCCATAGATGTTCATTGGGATCGAGGTCAATGTATGAGTTGTCTTGACGTTCCGACGTGTCACTGTCACTCTCCTCACTCTTCTCCAGGCCTTCTGGGTCTGACTCCTCATGGTCCTGCTCTCCCTCCCGGTCTGACTTGTCTGAGTACAGGTCTGGATCTTTCAAATGGTCACTGTCATTGAACCTGGAGGAAGAAAGGTGGATAGAGTGGTGAGGAGGTTCACCACAACAAAAAAGTCGGTAGCTTAAACCTTTGAAGGGGAAACTGTTTAATTTCCCTACTCACTGGAACCCTTGCATGTTGTGGGCTCGAAGGAGGCTGTAGAAATTAATGGAGTGCTCTCCACCAGTGGTTACTGTACTCATGTCCCCTTTCCCGTCACCGATCATGGTTCTCTTCAGCAGGCTGGAGCACTTCAGGGCAAGCTCCAAGGCATCCATCCAGCATCGACCTAGGAGAGGCATACACACTTTAGTAGTGTTTTATGATGATGTTTCTAGTATTTCCCATAATCACTTCCTGCCCTTTTCCAGATATCATTCTAGAGGGTAGTACAGCTTAAAATCTTTCTGAACAACTGTGCTGCAGTCACAATGAAAAGTTGGAAAAAAAATCCCTTTGTGTTTGGTGCATCCAGGGGATACAGTTTTACACACCTGGGCAAAGAAATACAAGCGTGGACAAGAAATACTGTGCACTGGCTAGAAAATAAAAAGTGAATTTTGATTTGCCTTCTATGGTTTTCCCCAGGCTTTCAAATGTCTTAGGTGCTCACCTGGAGTGGAGGGTTTAATGAAAATATATGTGGATTAACTCATTTGTACAGGTAGGCAGGCATATCTGCTATATGACTGCTACACTGTAGGAACGGAGAAAACAGTAGTGGGGAATGCCGCACAACCCACATGTGTGAGGAGCACCTGTTTTATATACAAGTAATCTTCTTTTGCTGGCATTGGACATTTTCCACTACATTTTTAAACAGTGCTTTAAACATTTTGACCAGTGGTTTTCATCAGAAAAAGATGTTACAGGTGAACATGCCTAATTTGTACAGCTACCAGGTGTTAGACATGAACATTTCATAAAATCCCTCATCAATTCTGCAGGTGTAAAACAGATCGAGCTTTTCAGGCACACACATTATAAGGTAATGAAGTGGTTTGAAGAACAAATATTAGGATTAGTGCTACTTCCTTATACTGATATTATATGTTGATATTAACATTAATTTAAGAACCTGATACCAATGTGATGCCAATTCATAGGCTTATCTCTAATCGCTCAATGTAAGATGAGAATGGACAGACACAAATTAAAGACAAATAGCTTGAAGTGTGAATGACAGCCTGTCTCCTACCATCAGACTCGGAAGCAGCCCGGAAGATGAGGTGGCTGCTGGGTAGAGGCTGTGTGATGGAGCCCACTGCTTCTCCTTTAGGACCCTGTTAGGAGTGACAAATAAATAGAGAAAATACACGTTACATAGCAGGTTCAGTTTCTCTTTTCCTTTTGAGATAGTTTAAATATCTCCTTTGGCACTTATTTCACTTGTCGTGTTTGTATTGCTTTTTTCATTTTTTAATCATTTATATGTGCAAACAGAGGAAATCTAGACTCCAGCGTATGTCATTATGTAAATGAGCTATGAGAGGAGGCAGAGGGCACAGAAGCTGCACGAGCAAAGTGTTTATTTCAATACTGACGAGGATGATGGGGAGAACAGGAACACTGTAATCTCAAACACTGACTGCTAATTGTGATTCAAGCCTTTTCACAGTGCAAAAGGGAAAACACTTGATATGTGAGGTCTGTGATGAATACCAAATCACAGTTGGAGTGGACAGAGCTCTGAAAGCAGGGCAAATGGAGGATGTACACTGCCAAATTTAAAAATGGCTGGCCAGAAGTGTAATTTTCCATGTTTGTCCTAATTTAAACAGAGATGAGATCTTAAATATGCATTTAACAGTTAGATCTGTTTAACAGTTAGTTTTGACTGCAGGGGACAAAGGATTTAGTTTTTAATGGCTGGTCCTTTCCCCCAGATTATCTACTTGCTTTCAATTTGGTTTGTTCATCACTGGTGAATAAAACAAACTGTATCCAAATTCAATCATTTGCATAACAAATCCCTGGCATTCTTCTCCTTCTTTAGAGTTCTACCCATCAATCTGCTGCGATCAATAATCAGAGTCTAATGTCAAAGACTTTTTTCAAACCAATATAATGTGTTGAGCAGGAGAGGAAAACTGCTGACTTGGAATATTATTGGGTGGAGGAATGAGCACTTTGAGGGACTCTGAAAAGGGGACACACTGGAGGACATGCTCCAGTTATTGAGGTATCACACTGCTCAGCCTCCCTGGGAAAGCTTATGCCATGATGCTGGAGAGGAGGTTCCAACCAACTGTCAAACCCCAGGTCCATAAGGAGCGATATGGATTCTGTCCTGGTAGTGCAACAGTGGATCAACTCTGTCCTGCTGTAAGACCCATGACCTCTGACGGAGACCCAACTTTCTGACACTTGGCCCTAAATTATGCCACAGAATTTGTTGGTAGCCTTCAGTTTTCATAATGCCATATACACAGTCAAGACGTCCAGTGCCTGAAGCAGCAAAACAACGCCAAAACATCAATGAACCTCCACCGTGTTTGACTGTAGGGAGCGTTCTTTTCTTTGAAAGCCTCACTTTGTTTTCTGAAAACAGCAGAATGATATGCTTGACCACAGAGCTCTATTTTAGTCTCATCTGGGAATGTCCACAGGACATTCTCCCAGAAGGATTATGGCTCCCTCGGGTAAGTTGTGGCAAACCCCAGGCTGGCTTTTTCATGTTTCTGTATCAGCAGTACCATGGCGTCCCTTGTTAAACATTTTGAAAATGGTGCACACAGTGGACACAGGAACAGGAAATGGACTTGTAGCCTTGAAACTGTCCATGCTTTTCCAGTAATGTGGAACAACCATTTCTGATGATTTTGAAAAGGTGCCAATAATCCTGTCCATTTCATTTTTTCCCTCTGCTTTTTTTGTTCTAATGCAAATGAAAGAATAAACATGAAAATACCAAAGAATTTGTGACTGCAACAGTTTTCTGGGGGAAGTGATGCGTTATCTGGCAGAAATGCAAGAGTACCAATATTTTTGCCCATGACTGTATATGAGACGACTGATCTCATTCTTAGGATTATACAGTAAATAAAAAGGTAAAGTCAGCAGCAGGCTGGGTAGTTTTTAAAATAAAGACTGAAAATGGGAAACAATTAGCTTGGCTGTGTTGAAAGATAACACACTGATTACAATTAGTTACACACAATACTATTTAATCCAGGGAGTCAATGCATGGCAAAGAAACAGTCCAACACATAAACCAGCTAAAACTGTAAACTGTCACTGTTACACTTTGGCTTTTTTAACTGATTAAAAAAATGAGAAACGACATTACAATAAGCTTTGCAGTGAGTTTTTATTGGACCCTTGGACAGAGACAGACTACCTTCCTGCCAAACCTTTGCACTTAAAAAATTTAGAACTCAGAGATCCATCTGTGAATGTTAATCAGAAGAAACCGTTGGAACTAACCTAACAGCTTCTGCTGAAAAAAACAAATTGCTGCAATGAGTTTGAGTTTCACTTGCTCAGTTTCTTTTGAGTCTTGTAAGATTTTCCCCTTTAGAGACCAACCACAGCCTTTCAGATTTCATATTTCTCTGCTCAGAGGGCACCAATTTTAAAAATAACTGCACAGATGGTCTAGTTTTAAGAAAGTGCCTTTTTTCCTCTGGCTACTGCTCTTTAATGCTACCATTAAAACAGAAAAAAAAATCAGGCCAGACATTTCATGATCTCAGCCAACATTCACACCACTTGCTTCCTTTTTGCATTCATTATTCCATTTTATCCTTTACACTCCTTTCATTTGTTCATGTTAGTATCCTTTACTCTGTTCAGTGGCTGAGAATTCTATACTTTGCTGCTGTGACCAACTACTGGACTTAAATTGCTTAGAGTTTTGATGCTTCCATGACTTTTCCATCTTCTAACATAAGTCAGATTGTTTGGCTTGCCTGTATCCATTTGTTTGTTAAAATTTAATATTTTCTGGACAGCTGAAGAGTCTGGTTTTCTCTGCAGTGAGCTGTAAACCATCATCTAATTAAATGAACCCCAGACATGTGTCATTCTGGAAGTTCCCCAGAGGATCTCACTTATTTCCCTATTTTTCAAACATGGACAACACTGACTCAGTGCTCTGTGATTTTTCCAAAATATCACTGATTGGTGTGAATTCTGTATTGTATGGTACATTCTGACCTTGACAGCCCAGATGGACTGCTCCAGTGGGTGGAAGAGCTTGAAGCAAAAACCGTCTTTCTTGGAGGGCCTCTCGATCAGTTCGCAGGCATTAAGCAACACTGTTCCCACCCATTGCCCGTTTTTGTGGGTTTTATAGATGAGCAGAACACCTGGTTTCAGCACACACCACAGCTTGGTCCAGCTCTTCAGAGTGCCACGGATCTAGAGTGGAAACGCAAAAATATGAATACCATTCTTTCATAAATCGTCTAGTGCAACCTGAAGCTAAATTACACAAACAAGTATTTCTAACTTTTTTCAAAGTAAAGCAACTAAGGTTTACTAGAAAGGTTTCTAGATGTTTGTGGTGACATCACAAGCCAATCTGAATATGTATGATTCCATTATAAAACTATTTTCATGTCACAATGTTTGCTGGAAATACATCTATGAAAGTTAGATGAGCTAATACTAAAACCTTTTTAAACAAGTAGTTGTCGTAACTGTACAAAGACCAAACACATTATGTGCATCTTGTTCCCACCTTTAGCCAGTCAGCCATGACAATGACAGAGGGATCAGTGATGGTGCTGAGCAGCTCCTTGGTTGCCCTCTTCTTTTCTTCCCTGTAGTTTTTCTTCTGCACCTTAAAGCAGCACAGAGAGATAAACGATGCTTAGAACAATCAATCTGTACACCTGTGAATGTTAATATTCCACACCTTTTCTTTCTCATTTACATTTTGTAGCAAATAATAGAGTGGAATCACACTTCTCATTGTCTGTTAAAATAACACCCGGTATGTTCTGATTGCAGTGTGAGATATATGCTACATTCAGGCCCTCCTTTAAATGTAATAAATCCTATCTTATATATTGTGGGACATTACTGGCCACATTGAAAGGAACAAATCTCTACCTCTGTCATGTACAGCATTCTATACATAGTAACTTACAGAGTAGAGATGGGTATATCAAACTAATATGCTATTTGATATTCGCTGGGAAGTATTTGACAAATATTAAGCATTGCTTTAATCTGAAGAACAGCACTCTGTATTTTCCAGTTGCTTATAAAATGGTAGGTGACTGTCACGTACCTCATTATAGTGTTATTTCTAGATGACGGTAAAAGCACGGGAAAACAGTGGCTCTTTGATTTTAAAGACATAACCATAGCCACATGAAATATTACAGTAGAATTTTTTTCATTTAATGACTTTTTGAATATTCCGTAATCATTGCCCATCCCTATTACAGAGTTAACCCAATGTGAAACAGTCCATGGCAGCATCAGTGAACAGACTATATGTAACACTCTCCCCCTATAAGAATATATTTACAATTCATAATGCCTGGCTTGAGGATTAGTGTCCATATAAGCAAGAATTAAGCTGATTTAATGTAATTTACCTTGAGTGACTCTTTCTTGGTGAGCTTTCCTCCAGACACTGATACATCTTTGTCTGAGCCATTGTACAGCTTTGTTTCAGACTGTCAATACACAAGGGGTAAAACAATAGTTTATTAGCAAAAAAATATAACTGATTCATCTCTGAATACATCAGTATTTGACTTTGTCCTTAGAATCATAATATAGTTAATTATTCATTCATCTGTCATGGTCATGCTGACTTTGGGAAATAAAATATTACTCAAACATGTCTAGTGATTATAACCAAAGCTTCACTGTGAGGATTTGGATTTCAAAGTGTGTACCATCCACTTAACAATCATCAGCTTATTTTATTGATGCACTCTGGGTAATCTGACTAAATGAAAGCTAAGGTACAAAATGTTGCCACTTAAATACAAATCTATTATCATAAATAATATAAATCAGCCTACTGAAATGAGGATATTACATTAGATTTCTTAGCAATAACATTAGCAAAGAGCTGCAGAAGCACAGAAAAACAGCACCTAGAAATGACTAATCTTTCTTAATTGATGCCCGTTTACTTCCCTAGTAACCCAGTAGCAGAGTGAATTCTATAAATGCTAGTGCAGGTGTGTCTGCCAGCTCCCTTTGCAAGCCAGTTAGAGTGATTTAAAGTGGAGAAACATATGGCAATGTGTAGGGATCTTGAAGCAAGGCATCTTGAGGCCGTAAATGCAGGGTTGGAGAAGGACTGAAGGTACGTGATAACAAGATCTAAAGCTGAACTCGGTCTTTCATTTATTTAGAACCAATCCATAGTTTATCTTGGCTGAGACTGCACCAATCATATTAAAACACAGTGTCCAGATCATCTGTTACATCTGGTTGCTAATGATCTCCCCAGCCTCAACAGCCTTTTTTGGGTCATTATTAAAAAGAGCATTTAGGACTTCACTACAGGTAAAAGCTCTAAGGGCAAAACTAGGAGATACCACGCCACTGGGTATGTACAACTTTGCATTATAGTGGCATCAGGTAAAAGAAAAGCTATGTAAAACGCTTTAATGAATTCTGCACTGCTAATAACAGTTTGCAGAACAGCAAAATTGCCAAGATAACCGAAATTTGTTTTCTATTAAATTTTATTAAATGTTTTCTATTAAAATAATAGGATCACAATAGAACAAAGGCATCCCTCTATCATTTTAAACTTGACTAAGCTTGACTACAGCATGCCATAGTGTATATAACATAAAGCCTCGATTTAAGAGCTGTAAACTCGGACAATTTGTATATATTTCAGCAATCATAACTTATCTCAGCATTTAAAATGTAGCATTATTTCCTCTACATATGCATTATTATCAGAAAAATACTATACCTCCTTTAAGTGGTTAGAACAAATTCTGCTAGGTTGTTTGGGAGATGTGAGGCTGCTCGGGGAATTTCCTTCATCCAAAGCTTGAGGTGTTTGGGGTCAGTTAATGGCAAAGTATTTCAAGTCTTATCTTTCCCAGATTCATTTGTACAACCTGGAGTAACACAGAAATTTCCCCTATACTTAATTTTATGCCCAACAAGATACTGTGTTGCTATTTTCTCATAGATATTTTCTATAATCTCTACCCCAGAACCTGTCTGGGTGCATGGTATTACGGGATATCAGAATAGGGCAAACTGAAATCTCACTCATCTTTAATTTCGCCAATGCATTTTGATACAGCTACACTAGCTTAACTTGAGTTGCAGTGATCACGTACAGTGCGTGCGGACAGAGGTCTGTCCAACTAGCCCATATGTGTGGACACTCAAAGCGTGTTTTTGATTGTTTTTGTAAGGTGAGTGATATACTCAATAATGCCAGCCACTGCAGCACATCAAAACAACAATGAATACATTATCATAGACAATATACTGCACATTGCACACCCCATAAGAGAACCTAAAAAATAATTGAGGCCCACAAATATAGATTCATCTAAATCTTGTCTTGATGTTGGGAAGCCTTGGGTAAGTTTTTTTTTGAAAGAGGCCCATCTCTGAAATGCTCATTCTCTGTTGTGACTCAGTGTCTTAGACACCCACGTTTGAACTGACAAACATATTTGATGTGGACCTCGACAAATAAACCAGACAGGCCTCCTCCACATTGCTCGCTTGAAAGAAGATTGTTTGAATTTCAGCTGATAAATGTTTGATGTGTACAGTGTATTCAATATGCGAGTCATCTCAGTGTAGGTTATTTGATGCCTCAGGCAAGACTGGAAAAAGGAAAGAACTGCACTAATTCCATATTGTCTTTTCTTATCAGAACATGCAACCTAAGCATCCAGTCGTTACTACCCACCTATTAAAATACATCAAGTCAGCGGAGTGATTTTTCTTACCTTGCTCTTAGATATGGAATGCGAGTCCTCTTTCAAAGGCAGAGGCAAGAGGTCCTCCTTACCTCTCTCAAAACCTGTAACAGAAAACATGATGACAGAGTAAATTCTCAATCTATCAATGTGTCCCTGGATGACCGGAAACCAACCTCATTCAATTAGACAACCAGTTTGCTATGGATTCAGTTTAAACCCTCTGCTGCTGTGCCCACCAAAATGAAGATGATTTTGACTTTGGGACTTCCAGCCTGTACTCGGCACAGATGTTTCTGTACACTATGCCAGCCACTTGGTTATGGTGTTCTATGTATGCCCTGCCTGCTAGCATCTTGCACGCCGCTGTTATGTGCTGGATTGTCTCAGGGCATCTTTGCACAGCCTGCACCTGGGGTCCTGTCTGGTATGGTAGACCCCTGTCTCTATTGATCGGACATTGTTCTTTCCCTTCAGCTGAAATTGGCTTTAAACAAACTGGTTAGACAACAGGCATCTGTATATGCCCCCATAGGTTATATGGGTTCTTTGTATTGGTACTCAATGTATTTTCAGAATACAATGTATTTTCAAAATAGATAATTGATCAAAAGTCATTTATCAAGCAAAATTACCAAACACGCTCCTGTCCTACCTCTTATATTTTCTCAAACTTTGCTGTTTTTCTCAGTTTTATATAATTGTAAATGGAAAGTCTTTGGCTTTTAGACTACTGGTGAAAAGAAGGTCAAAGAAGTTATCTTGGGTTGTAAGAATGTGACAATCATTACTTGTATTTTTTCAGATTTATTGACTTTTTCGAAAGACACAGTTAATTACTAATGAAAACGATAATTTGTTGCAGCCCTAGTTTGCTCTGTACAACTTTATTTTTCTGATCGGTAAGCATCAACATGTCTGTTTTTGTGATTCATCAAGATCTCATTGGCTAGATCAGATGGCTGTTTTAATCTATATTTTGGCTAGCACAGTATGGATCCTGAAAACGGATAAAGAAAAAGTCATTTGCTACAGCATGACGCTCGCCTAAACTCCACCTTAGGATTTCTAATCTTAATTAGTGAGCTAGTTTCTAACCAGTCTAACCCCTGCAACAGATTCCCCACTGAGATCCCTGCAGGTGAGGAAATTTGTGACAGTCTGTAAATATTTTATAGTTTCCATCTCTTAGACACAGACCATCTGTATTCAGACATGAGAGTGAAGGAACTGCTGTCTCACCAAATGAGACATTTCCAAAAGATAAAAGAGACATCCCATTTGACCAGCCATTTGCTTCAATAAAACATGCTGTCCTTGAGATGAGACAGCTCAGAGCCTGAATTCTCTATAAATTACATTTTAGAAGAAATCCGAAACAACACAAATTCCATGCTTGAATATGGTAATAGCAACATGATGCTCAGTGCATCCTAGAGATGGTTTTGTGCAGAAATGGGTTTGTCATATCCACTTTTTTGTCAACCTGTCTCATTTGGCCTGCTACCTCAATCTGAACTAATGCCTTTCAACAACATCCTACATATGCTTGCTTGCTGGTGAGGTATTATGTGCACATAGAGGAAATAATAAAAACTGAGGCAAGACAAACTAGGAAATACTAGGCAATTTGACCATATAACCCTGGTACTGGCCTCTCTTCACTGGCTTCCAGTGTGTTTTAGAATTCATTTTAAGCTATTGATTTTTGTTTTAGACTGTTCTGACTAGATTACTCAAATCCTCAAGACCCAAGGTTCCCAGGGCCAGATACAAACGCTGGGGTGACTGTGCTTTTATTGTTGCAGCTCCTAAATTGTGGAATGGTTTACCTTTTAATGTTAGATTATCTAGAGACTTAACAACTTTTAAATCATTGGTTAAAACATATTTATTCACTTTGGCTTTTAATACATAGTATTGTCTGAATCTTCCTTCTTTTAACTGTTGATTTTGTGTAGTTCATGTCTTTATGCTCCTATGTTGTTTTATTTCTCTACTGACATTATTTATTCTGGTTTTTGTATTGCCCGTGTAAAGTACTTTGGTCAACGAGATGTTTCTTTTAAAGTGCTATTTTTGATTTTGATTGAAACTCCTAATTTGTTTCAGGGGGAGTTTCCTTTGATTAACTACAACCTCAAATCAGAAAAAGTTGGGGTGGTACAATATGTAAAATCACAATTAAAACTGAAAATAGTGATCTCTAAATCATCTGTATCCTGTATTACAATGAAAACAATACAACAGCATATTGTTTGATGTGATACCTCATCAATTTTATTCTTTGTTCAAAATAAACACTCACTTCAATTTTGATGCCTGCAACACATTCCAAAAAAAAAGGCACAGTAAAACATTTACCACGGTGTGGTGTTGCCATTCCTTTTCACAATGGTCATTTGCATTTCAGGGCTAATAATGAGGTAAAACAATGAAAGGATGATTCCTTTTGAAACAGGTGATCTCAACAGGTGACTGCCATCATTATTTGGTACAAAAGTGGCATCCAAGACAGGCTGATCCTTTTAGGAGCAAAGATGGGCCGAGGATCACCAGTTCGCCAACATATGGATGAGAAAATCATTTAACTGTTTAAAGAGACTATGGCATGCTTTTCCTTGTTTTTTAAGCATCTACAATGTTACAAATATCAACTTAGACATGACCTAAAGCTAAAAAATTATGAGGTCTACATACAGTGGGTACGGAAAGTATTCAGACCCCCTTAAATTTTCCACTCTTTGTTATATTGCAGCCATATGCTAAAATCATTTAAGTTCATTTTTTTCCTCATTAATGTACACACAGCACCCCATATTGACAGAAAAAAACAGAATTTGACATTTTTGCAGATTTATTAAAAAA